TGATTAAAACAAACCATTTTTACCCTCATATAATCAAGCAATTAACACAAGCTATATTTAGTGGAGTTTATCTTTTATTTTATGCAAACATTTTTAGACAATTATCTTTACGATGAATTGTATATGGTACTATCGTATGCGAGTAGCAGGTACTTTAGATCGTCGGATTTAATCGAACGGAATCGCCGGACTTTTTCCCCAAGTACTCGGTGAGTATTCCACATTGATAAATGGCAAAATTGCATACCTACATTACGAAAATGTATGTCGTAGCCGATACGTCGACCTTGATGTCTCATTTTTAAAACCTCTTCGCCGACAGCCACTCGGCCGACTAATTGAATTATTAATTGCCGCGGGTTTAATTACCCGCCAGTATTTCAATTACTTATCTACTAATTTAGTACGCGACGCGATATGAACTGTTTGCACCTTCGTCGGTTTTCTACGATTTTATTTCGCATTGTTCGAGAGAATTATTTCGAGACTCAAAGGATTACGAATAAAAAATAAATAAATTCGATATGGAGCCGACCGCAACCGCATCTTCCATCTTGACAAGACGTGTGTAGGTTTTGGTTCCAGGAAAAGTGGCATTTTAAATTTGTGGTCCTTGTTATAGGCCACACGTTCGATTCAAACGAGTATCACAACTGCACTCTTACCACAAACTAATTAAGAGTTTAATCATGAATAATTGTGATAAAATGCTAACTTGGCATCTAATAAGATAATTCGACATCACTAGAATATTTCTTTAAATGAAACCTTCCAAATTTTCATCTAGTACGATAATCAAAGCGGCTTCCTGCCTACAACTCGTCGAGTTTCAAGCGCGACCGTTGAAGCACGAGGACAGGTATTTTTTTCCGCAAATCGTTTTTCAAAAGAACGGACCTCTTAGATGCAATGTATGCCTAAAATGCGCCGAAAAAAATGAATGACTTAAATTCGAGCCGCTCTCCGTCTAAACGTCGTTTGATGTGGCGAATGTAGGCGCTTTTTCAGGGGTCGTTAAAATTTTTGAAGTTTAAACAATAGGTTTTTAGCGTTCGCCCATTTATAACGTGGCAAATATATTTGTTAATAAAGCAACATCAATCACAGACAATGTTAATGCTATTAGCATAAGCATGGTTGCGGTGATGATAAAATATTAACAGGAGAAAGTATGGAAATCGTTTTAAAAAATGTTTTTGAAGGAAAATTTTTTGTCAATAATTCATTGTATAAACGAAGCAAAAAAATATCGCTTTGTTATATGATAAAAAGGAAATTACAACTATACACAACTTCAATAAGCAAAAGTATTAGCAGGTGAAGTTACAACAGGTTATCAACCCCACGGTTAAGCCACTGGCGGTTTATGATTAAACCAACATATAAAAGTCTGCAAGTATGGTAGTCGTAAAACATAATTTATTTTGTTGGAACTTTTGCATACATATTGAGAAAAACTGAACGTTGGGCATAAATCAAGTTAAGGTTTTGTTAGTCGTTTAATGTTGCATGAATGATGGTCCATAATGTATAAAGTACAATTTAGAGTTGAGCAACAATTGATGGTCGTAAAAGTTTGAATTCTGATAATCGAAGAATGGATTTTACTCCAACGGGTTGATGCTTTTCAGTTCGTAAGTGCGTGAACTCGATGCAACGCACGACTCTTCGCGATATTTATTATAACAGAGTTGTAAAAGGAAAATACCAGAATTTTAACAAGTTTATTAAATGACAAAGGCTCGAGACATTGCTCAATTTTATATTTAGTTTATCTATTAGTGCTTATTTGTGTTCGTTAACTTGAGACTAACTTTTTGACTAAATATTACTTATGGTTATAAGTATTTTACAAATAAAGGAAAACTTAAATTTAACATTATCTCGTTTTAGTTACGAAGCCTAAAGATTATCTAAATTATAGTCATTAGATTAGAAATTACAACTAGAATGCAATTCTCCCAAGTTCTAATTTCTACATAATTCCAGTTATTATTTTCCAATTCGATATCTAGGTAATCGATATCCAGTGCGTAAAGTATGTAATTTTTTTATAGCATTTACTATTTCAGAGGTTTCAATGAGTGCATTTCTGCGTTTCGTTTAAACCATTATAAAATGCCCTGTTTTCTTTATATTAATACAAAGTTTCATTGCATAAATTCTAACGACTTAACAATTTTGTACCTACTATTCATATTCAACTAACAGCGATTCGCAGAGGTATAGGTAATAAAACGCAAACATTATCTTTGGGCAATCCATTTACAGATATGGATAAAGCAATTGAATACGGATGTGACATCGACGATTATATCTCACCCGCCCATAAAAGCGTTTCAACTGATATCGCATTGCTCCTCAATCATATTCCAAAATTGTACATAAAAGCACCGTTAGCTGCCTTTAAGAAATTACATAAGACAACAGTGACAGCGAACATATACCTACCCACAACCGCAGATGGAACTTGGCGATTTTTCTTTCTTCTAAATGCTTCTAAATGTGGGAAATAGGAATGTTTGCTTTTAAATATCCACGGTCATTAAAAATTTAATAGTATGGTCGCCCATTTAATCACACGATGACGCTATTAGGTCCTTTAAAAAATGTACAGGTGAATTGATTGCTTGTTGGAAGTAAGGAAGTAATTAATTCAATTTAACTCGAGCAAATTAATCGATTGAATACAAAATAGGTCTACCACTGAATTGGCATTTCTCTGGCCGTTTCGTTGGATGTCGGAAGTGTCACTATCAGAAAATTCCAGGCGAATGTGCCCATGCCATTGTTTCGCACTAAAAATAATTTATTTCATTGGCTATAAAACTGGCACCGTTAATTGTTGGTTTTTTTAAAGGTAGATAGACCAATGAATATGCAAACAGGAAGATATCCTAACAGGTACCGATTTACTGTTCAGTTCTCGTTTCTATGTTTAGCGATTACTTCTCCATATAAAATGTATTATTGGACTTTTCTTCTTCCGCGTAATAAACTGGTGTATCTAATAGTAAAATAAAATTTAAAGATAGGTTGTAAATGTAAAATCAAAATTCGAATACCACCTCGAGTAAAATACAGGACCTTTTTTCGCCCCGACAAATCAACTAATTGCAATAACACGATTTATGTTAACTACTATAAAATACACATAAAGATTCATTGAAACACGAACTCGGCGATTAGCTCGTGAAAAGAAAACAATTAATCCGCTATTCTCCTTTTCATTCCGTCAAATTACATTAAACAGGATGGTGCTTTTTTATTCATTATTAATTGCGCGTAATGGAGCTTGCTAACTAATAAAGAAATCAAGAAAAGCTCTTAAACATTCCGGCGTTGTATAAAAACCTGTGAAATTTCTTACTTATTTTTTGTTTCGTTAATAGGTACTGTAACATTGTAACATTGTTGGATAATTAACGTAAACGGATAGAAATGTTTTTTTTTTAATTTAGACGCAGTGTTAGATGGAAGTTTGAGCTCGTAGTGAATGTATAATAACTATATTATGATTAGATATGATTGATTAATTGAAGAGGTGTATGGATTTTTTATTCTACAAGTTAAGACCACCCCGTATGCAAATGGACTAAAAATTGAATAGTACCTAACAGAAACGAACTGTTTGAATTTTCAATTTAATAGCACACCCTAAGAGGTTGCGTAAGGTCGATGTAATTGGCATGGGTTGTAAGAGCGTAATTGCGGATTAGGTTCGTACGGAGTCGAAGAAATGATTCAATGCAGTAGCGATTGCATACAATTTCGAAGCGTTCGGTCACGGAGGTACGTATTTTCTGGCTTTTGTGCCAACTCCATCGATAAGCGGGCGCTTTTCGCCCGCCCATTGTGCCCATAGTCGTACTTTTCACCTTGCACAAAGCGCCCATAAAAACTCAATTCGAATAAACTAAGTGCAGGTGGAAATAAAATAAAGCACAAGAAAAATTTTATTGATGCACTACGAGTCCAAGTACCGACAATTTATTATATACGACTTTTCAATACAACCATATTCAAGATATGTATAATAATATCCAATTAATATTGAGTGATATATTTTATTTTAATTCGAGGTGTTTGTTGAATGACAAACCATTTTTTCCTATCAGAGGTCTGAAGATGGTCGATCGTTGCATAATATTAAAGTAAATTATTCCAATAATCATGTAATTATCTAAACTTGATGATCATCAGATTTCATTCAAATTTATAATATCCTGTAGAATTTTTAGTTATTAATAATTAATTCAAAATTTTCTGAAGGTATTTCGTTTTCATTTATCAAGCGGATACCTCGTACTAAAAGTCCTAAAATATTAATTAATGAAGCGGTCTCGATTTCGGATGGGTGGTACTGACGTTATACGTTTGAGGCGAAGATAAAATATTGATAATCGACCAAACAGTGTCCCGAACGTAACGGTACTCGTTATAATTAATTATTTTTTGGTACACTTCCTGAATGGTAAATATTTTAACATGTATTCGGTCTCATCAGGTTGCATAATTGCATATATTTGTTAACGATGAGCCGTTATACATATGTAGATAGTAAAATAACAGAGAAAGTAAATTGTTTTCGACAATATAAATAGTATGATTAAATAATTGTAGTGAAATATACGAAGAATTCAAAATTATTAAAATATTCATTTGTAAGTGCAGGTAATGTTTTAATAGCTTCAACCTGGCAACCTTGCATTATGTATTATCTAATTAATTAGGTAATCATTTAATTTATTACACATTAAATTGCAAAAATGCTTTAAAATTTTACCCTGAAGTTAGTGAATAAAAAAATAATAATTTTGAAACCCGAGAATAGGTAGATAAGTAAAGAGTGCGCAATCAAGTACAATGCATAAATTTAACTCATTAGTCGAATCTAAAAGAACAATGTACAGCCAGCGTCGATGTATTTGCCAGAAAAAGAAGAGGTGGGTTCTTAAAGTCGTCGCTGAAGCTATACGACGGACACCGCCGGATTCAGTATGGCCCAGACCGCCGTACACCGCAAAGCGCCATGCACAGTGACTGAAGACTGGTAGATACATCGCGAGATCGCGGGTCCACGACCATGGGGCTGAAGTCCGTGATATTCGGGGAAAGAACTATAAGCAGTGACGATTCGATCGTAGGCGATACGAACGCCACGATGGCTTTGGAGCGACGCCTGGAGATGAGCACCGAATTTTTCCTGGTGCCGACCAGCAGCACCCCCGGCACCACCACCGTGAGTTACATATCGAAGACGGCTTGTGCGGGTTGCCCGATGGAGACGGACAAATTGGCGGGCATTTTCCGGAACGAGGTTTGGGTCATACCGGTGTTAGCGTTATCGGCTATCACGATGGTTTTGATACTGGGTTTCGAGGTGTTTGTGTTGTGCAAAGCGTGGAGGACGACCCCTAGTCGTAGACATTTATTTCTCGGGCAGATGCTGTTGCTCGGGTTGTTTTCATGCGCTGGATTGTCCGCTATATTCGCCGCTTCGCCTACCCAATTAACCTGCGCTATTGTACGATTCGGTACGGGGGTAGCATATACTATAGTATTCGCTTCGTTATTAGTAAAGTGCGTTTTTTTAATTAGTTTAAACGGTGGAGTTTATCTCCCGGCGCCCTATCAAGGACTTCTATTACTATTCGCTATTTTAATTCAAGTAGCTATAGGGGTACAATGGCTAGTGACGAATCCGCCCTACGTGGACGACGTACCGGTAGAAATGATAGTAAATCCAAACAAACATAAACTTTTACTGACCGTCGAAGACATCACTAACCCTGTTATTATACCGTTATGTCGCACTCCTTACATCGATATGCTCCTATCTTTAATTTACGTCGTCTTTCTGATATTATTCGTAACAGTTCTAGCAGTTAAATCGAGAGGAATAAGAGACAATTACCGCGAAGCGACTTACATCGGTTTGTCGGTGGGATGCAGCATTCCCACGTGGTTGATCTGGACCATGAGCGGTCTCGTTGTTAACGAAAGGCATAAGGACGCCTGCATAGCCTTCGGGCTCGTGCTGTCTTCTGCTCTGATATTTTTAATAATGTTCATGCCGAAGGGAAGGCAATTGGCCGCCATGGGCAAGGAAGGCGTTTACGTGGAGGATCGCGAGGAACGCTTCAGCACGCTCAGCCGGGCGGCTTCGGGATATTCGCCCAGCTTCTTTCATTTCAAGCCCATCAAGTATGGATTGGGACACGGCTCCTCGCACAAACATCAAAATACCATTACTACTTTAGGAGGAGGTAATATACTCAATTATATATGATTAATATTATTCTTAACCAATATCGCCCGTGATTTAAAGTTTTTTTTTCAACGGATATATTTTTATTTCCTTGTAATTATTAATCACATGGTTTCTAGTCCATATAGGTACGCAAAAGAGGTTATTAAATTTTATTGGTGTTTTCAATAAACTTGGTCCATTATTATTTCCAGCCGTTTAATCAGATGGTAAGCGGTCGTAAAAAAGATTTAAAAAAGAAATCGTTTCAATAATAATTTTCATATTGTCGGATTCATTAAATACGAGGCCTTCATGGTTAATTAATTATTTTTAATAGTCGATTCTAAAACATCATTTAATGTTAATTATCAACATATTACTGATACAATAATGCCGAATTTTTCTATTCAACGATCAAATGTTTCTCTTTAATAATTTAAATTGCACAGTTAGACCTGTTGTAGATGCTTCGAGGAATTGTTAATGGAAAGAACGTGTATTATATTTTATTCTTTTTAAAGTGCACTTAAAACTCTTCGTTATTTTCACTGTCGATTAAAAATTAACGAATTGTTTATCGACTTCAGTTTGTTAAATACAAACAACTCAGTAATGCGAATTCCATTTACAATTAAATTTCCACGGATCAAATTTCATAAAACTTTTTAGCAGGAAGTCGTAAAATATGGAATTGAATATTATGCGATTTTCGTTAGCGATAGTTATTTATAGGTAGAGTTTAACTGGCTGCAATATTTTCCTGCAGTTTAATAGGGTAATACCGAAAGCGATATAATTTCGTTTTGAATTGAATTTACAACTGCCCGAAACAAAAATCAATAATAAAAATAACCATATACTTGATTACCATTTGCGATTGTAAAGATTCTACAGTTAGTTTAAGTTGTAAATCAAATCTACATTAAGTTATATTAACTACACGGTATATTGTTCTTCCTGTTTCTCCTTATTGTTGTACAGGCAGTACTTATATGATTTTTTTTCGAGATTTATAGGTTTTTTGTTTTCTATTGTTGCCTATTACTTGTGTGTATGTAGGTACATAAAGGGATTATATGTGTGCTGGGTGTGGCTTACCTTTTTAGTTTCTATTTGAACAAATGTTTCCTGGTTCATTCTTTTATAGGGGCCGTAAATAAAATTATTGTATAGAAACATTAATGCAAATTTAATTTTGCACCAAATTAACTATGATCATGATTTCTAAAGTGAAATTAACGGCAATTTTATGAACATTTCTACTGTAGGCAAATTTTATGAAATATAAATAGCATATTTGCAATTTAACGACAATTTTAAAACGAAAACTTTCTAATTGAAAACCGTTTTTTCACCCACTTCTTACATTTTGCAAGTTCAAAACTATCCGATTCGTGAGTGGTGTCAAAATCGTTCCTCTATTATACCATTTTCAGTAAAAACCGTTTGCACCGTAAACGAACATAGAAATTTATTGGCCACGACCTGTAATTTTTATCATCAATTTTATTATCATCTGCGGATACAACCTCTTGAGTAAATTATGTAGATCGTAATTCATTATTGAGATAGACCAGCGATCAATCAACTATAAAAAAATAACAAGAAAAACTGAAAGTCATATCGGCTATGTCATGATCACGATACATTACATAACGGAGACGATGGCTTGTTACTACGTGAGACCTCCAAAATTTTGTATCGAACCTATACCTTATTACAAAAAAAAAACAAATTAGTTTTTTTCGGCTTCATCTTGAAACAAGATGCTTAAAATCCGGAGCACAATAACTCTGAATAATTACAAAGGTTATTAGACTAAAAAGTTGTACAAAGGATTTGTAAACTTATCCTTCAAATCCAAACGAGCGAGTCCAAATTGTATAAGCATCAGGTTTTTTTGGAGGGACTTTTAGTTACTTACGATGATACAATAAGACGAAATTACCATCAATTCACACGAGTTTATTTTAAGTTTTCAGTTAATAAAAATCATCTTCAATTAAAGTAACGAAAAAAATATTGAAGCAAAAGTGGTTCAATAAATTGTGACCGTTACTATCCAGCCTTCTTTCGAGTAAGTCAGTTTCAAATAGATTATTATTTCCGTTAACAGGAAGAGATGCTTCCCAGCAATTTATTAGCTAATTCCTAAAATAATCGTGGTAACTTTTTCTCCTTCAATTATATTATTTCACTCGACAGGATATCGGGCGATAAGAGGAAATTGGTAATCGATAATTCAAATTCCAATCGTGTAAGAACACACGAATTAATTGACTAACAGACAAATTAATTTTTAATCGACTCTCTCTCATTAGAATAAACTAATTTTCAAATGTATTAATAGCGAAATCTCATTTTATCGTGTGCAATTAATTAAAAAAGAAAATTAAATGCATACGCACAATGCAAAACAACTGGGTAGAATTTCAATAAAACGAATACATTAAAATTAATGATTAAATTATCGCAGCTACAACGCTACTGCAAACAATTCCCATTATTAATATCTAATTCAAGTATCTTAAATAATCTGATTTTTTTATAAAGGCGTAAAATTAAATGTAAACGACCTGTCAATTAACAAGTTCTTATGGTTGTTTTAATTACTTTTGTGGTGTCAAGTATGAAATTAAATTGGCAATAAAGAACAATGTTTACGTATAAAATGCTCCGGCACCTACATTGTTGTCGATTTAATATAAAAATTAATAAAATATTTAAACACCTGGGACCACGCAATGTCTGAAGTGTTAAAATTAAATAACGAATGTATTGTAAATTTTTTGCTTCTTCAGGATGTGCCTCTTAAAACATATTAATATAATAATACCCGTGGTTCTTGAACTTAGCTCTTGAGGTTTCTTAAACTCTAATATTTAACTTTTGACTATTTGAGAATCGTGTTTGGCTTTTCCATTACTTGACCCTCCCACTTGCTTTTCGCGACAAAAAGCCTTCGATTATGGTAAAATACATTTTTGTGCTACTTCGTTATGTAGACCGAAAAATAATGTTTCGCATAAAGTGGGTAGTAAAATGTAACCTTGTCTGAAACGTTAAGTACAAAATGAGAAAATTTTACGAGTCGAGAGTGTATGGTATTAACAGAATGGAGTTTTTCTACCGCAAAATGATAAGAAAAAAAAATAATTAACTTAACGAGTTTCACCTCGAAGAAAATCTCCAGGGACAATATATTTTTTTATTGCCTATTGGATGTTCGTTTAACGAAAATCGCGTACGCCTAACAAAGGAGTTAATTCTGAATATTTTAACGATATAATTTGATGTAAAATCGAATATACATGTTCGAATACCCACTAATCTCTGTCGGGAAGCGATCAAAATTTTTTAATTATGGATCTCGCAAGGTCGACCAGAAGAATTCATCGAATATATTAATTGTACGATCCTAATCCGACATTTAAATACGTTATTGTCACATCGGTATACTCATACAGTTACGCATACATTATATTACATATCTACCGTTAAATTATTTGTAATAAGCGTTAACCCAAATTTTTATATCGACGACTGACAATTAATATTTATGAGGACGAAGAAAATTCATAGCGTAAAATACAATAATGAATATATTACCATTGATCACAATAATTATATATCATTAAAAGTGTAAGTAACATATCAGATGTTAATTTAATTTCGAGATAATTATTAAAGTTGTTAACAGATTTACAGGCAAACTATAAATTCGCTGTAAATAATAATAATACAACTTTAACGATGGTTTTTGTCTGCCTGTAAAATGATTGACAGCTAAAAAACCGCCTTGCGTAACCGCCGAGAATAAAATGAATCCCAAAAAAAACCTCACCAATTTAAGAATAAATTGGTAGAGTTATCGTGAAAAACATTTACATCCAGAAGAGACCACCTAAAAGCGTTAATTAATTTATCAATTTGAAACCCACGAAAAAAAAAACGAAAATATTTCACGTGAAACAAAACCTATTACGAAACGTTAGGTGAAGACCGAAGTCAATAACACTTCCTCATGTTTTAGTTAAGTGCTTTTTGTTTAATCAAATTTACTCTCTGAACCGTAACGTACCGGCAACGTTGTTATCATTAAATTTAAAAGACAACAGGCATTTTGTATCGTACCATTATATAGTTGGCTTTTTTGTTTTGTATGAAGTAATAACGGTAAACAGCTTGTCACAAAAAATCCAATTGATTAAACTAGATTTAATTAAAAAAAAATATTATAATTAGTTTATTTCAAAACTTTATAGAGTATAGTAAGATATTGTAAGATGTAGAAAGTACTTACAGAAGAAGCCCATTAATTTTTGTATAGGTACTAGGTGGAAAACTTGAACTTTTATCACAAACTTTGTACTAATTTTTATAATACTATTACTTATTGTATTATTGCGAAATATAAACAATTGTTGCAACGTGTTACTTGTGAAAAATTTTGAGTCATTTAGAGAAAGTGTTGGAAATTTTCCTTTCAATTAGTTAAAAAGGGTAATGCCGAAATTAAGCTAATTGAATTTAAACAATAAGCCGTAAATTTGTAGTTGTTTTGATGTTTATCTGTGGTGTTAAAATGGAAAATAAATACAACTGCTTCGAGATGTTTAAGGCGTTTAAATTCTAAATTTATTATTCCATAATCACTTAAAATTTGCGCGAATACTAAACAGTAGCATTCGCATTTGATCCACTTACAAAAAATATTAATATTGAAGCAACCGCAAGACTATTACAATCTAATAGTAGAGTTCAAAGCTGCTTCTATTGTGTCATCCCGTTTGCACTTTACTGCTAAAATATAAGAACCACTTTTTATCATTTCTTATGCCCTAAGAATGTAAAATCAACAGGTCGTCCAAAAATCGTACGGTGCAGGGGGTGGGAAGGGTGCATTTTTCAAAAAATCAAAAAAAAATATTTTTATGTTTTTTAAATCTACAACATACGGCCATTTAACTGTCAAAATATGATTTCTATATTTCCATTGGAAATATTTATTTTTTT